GGCTTTAGATTCTCAGTGCTGCGCTTTAACCCGCTGCACCACCAGGGAGGGCCATCTTTTTCTTTTTTTAAGATTTGTGCATACAAGAAGTGGAGAACAGGCCAGGGGAGGGGGTAGGGTGAGAGGATCCACCAGAGATAAAGTGGGGAGCAGAACTGGCAGATCTACTGAAATACTTACTGAGGGGAGCAGAGGGCAAGACAGGAGAGGTCTGCCATGCCATGTGGATCACCTCCCTGGCCAGGAATCGAACTCGTTGCTCATTTATCACCTCCTTAATGCCATGTGGATTAACTCCCTGACAGGACATGGAACTTATGCCACAGTGGCTAGCAATAGCTTGATAGTGCTGAGACTTTAACACCTGTGTCACCAGCGAGCCCCCCCCTCCACATACTAAATTAAATGATCAAAATATCAAGTGTAATTACAATTACAGGCTTCTGAAGTCACCCTGTTTTTAGTTACTTGAATTAAATTGCATTGAGTACTATTTTCTACAATTCACATCAGCTGTCTAAAACGTACTTTTCAGTAGACGCTTCAAATTATAAGTTATTCCAGTGAATTTTTACTACGTAGTGAGCTCTTAAAAATTGCAACGACACTGCTTGTCATTGTTTTTTTGTACTAGAAAAATTTATGGATTTAAATTTTAAAGTCAGTTTTATAAAAGTTTAGTTTAAAAGATTAAGATTGGGAGCCTCCCAATCTTTTAAAAGATTTATTTATTTATGTAAAGACCTGGGGTACAGGCCAAAGGTGTGGTGGGGTTATAGGATTCACCAGAGACCGAGTGGAGAGCAGAACAGCAGACTGACTGACATGCACTGCTGAGGTAAGGAGTGGGCAGTTCAAGAGAGGTCTGCCGCACCATGTGGGTCACCTCCCTGGGTAGTTGGAAATCGAACTCATGCTGCAGTGTTGCAAACCACCTCATACTGCTATATTTTAACCTAGTGCTATCTGTTGAACCATCAGGGAAGATCCTACGCCAGTTCTTGTATGCATAAATAAAAATAAAAAATCTTGGTGGTGCAGTGGGTTAAAGCACAGCACTAAGAAGCTAAAGCCACTTAAGCTTGAGTTTGATCCCTGCCCCAGAGGTGACCCACCTGGTGAGTCAGACCTCTCCTGACCCTCCTGCTGCTCCCCTCAGCAGTGTACTTCGTCAGTTGGCTTGTTCTGCTTCTCACTCTGTCTCTGGTAAATCCTGTCAGCACCCCTGCATCTCTGGCCTATACCCCAGTTCTGTGTGCATAAATAAATAAAATCTTTTGCAAAAATAAGTCTTTAAAAAATTTAAAATAATTAGATTGGTTGAGTCTTAAGTAATTATTAGCCTCTTGAAAAACCTTTCTAGTTATGAAAAAAATTGCTTTATTTTAAGTGCTTGATATTTAAGGGAAAAAAATACTAGGCTTATGGTATCAGGCTTAAGTTTCTCATTTTCTAAAAGAAGTTTAGGGAATGGGGCTTCCTTGGTGGCCTCGTAGTTAAATCTCAGCACTATCATCACTAGGGCCTTAGCTTGATCCCTGGCCTGGCACAGGAGAGGTAGCACAGCATACCTCTCCTGTTTCAACTGCTGCTTTCCTGAGCAGTGTATTTCAGTAACTGCTCTGCATTCTGCCTCTGTTGAATCCTCACCCCCACACCTCTGGTCTACACCCCAGTTCTCTGCAAAAAAACAAAAAAGATACTTTTAAAAATTGGTGGTTTTATATAAATTATTTTCTTTCATATATATTATATTTCATTTTACTATATAATGTTTTAAATGTCTCCAAATATTCTCCATTTTTCCCACATGCCACCTATGCATTTTGTCATTTATTTATTTTTTAAAAAGTTTTATCTGTGTAGACAAGAACTAGGGTGTAGGCCAGAGTTGCTGGGGGTGTGAAGATTCATGAGAATCTTCTCTCGAGAGTGAGTAGAACAGGCAGATCTACTGAAAAACACTGCTGAGGGGAGTAGTGTCATGAGACAGGAGAGATCTGTTCTGCCAATTGGGTCAGCTCCCTGGCTAGTGATTGAACTCATTCTTCATGCTGCAGTGGCTGGCTTCTGGAAGCTTGATAGCACTGAGACTTTAACCCCCTGTGCCACCCGGTAAGACCTAGACCTTGTTTTAGTTGAAAAATGGTGGGTGATAACTCCAAGTTCAACACCTTCCTTGACTTGTCTAGATCCTTTATGTATTAAAATAATTGATTTAAATTCTATTTAGGCACAAACTGCTATCAGTGCAGACTATAGGCTGATAATAAAGCTTTATTCTTTGGAAATAAAGAATGACAACTTAATCTTCATTTTAAAAAGAGATCATTATCTGTTTGGAAGAAGGCACAGATCCTTTCATCTAAAACTTAATTTGGACAATAATAAAATAGCATTTGCTAAGATCTATTTTGAAATTAGCTGTTTTCACCAAGCCATTGTCACAGTGCTGTCCTAGCTAGTGGAAGTGCAGTGATTTTATTTGTCTGCAAGGGTGTTGTGAATTTGGATGTGAAGTTGATAGGCTTTAGTATCCTGAACTGAACATTTTCATAAAAGGAAAGAAGAGTGATCCACAGTCTCCAATACATGTTATCATCAGCACTGAATTTAGATACGCCACGTTCCTCTTCCACTATCAAAAAAAAATTAGTGAAAACAGGAAGCTAAATTAGGAAAACATTAGTGTTGGCAGTACATGTCACATTCTTTTTAAGGAAATAACGAAATAACTTGTTAATTTTTAGGCGTTCTTCTCTATGGACCTCCAGGCTGTGGTAAAACCTTGATCGCCAAAGCTACAGCCAAAGAAGCAGGTTGTCGATTTATTAATCTTCAGCCATCCACACTGACTGATAAGTGGTATGGAGAATCCCAGAAGTTGGCCGCTGCTGTTTTCTCCCTTGCTGTCAAGCTTCAGCCTTCTATCATCTTTATAGATGAAATAGGTATGTATGCTAAGTGTTCTACTTGAGTGTTATAAAATACCATTTGAAAGGGTGGTATTTAAAGGGCCAGATTGAGTTTTTAGCATTTATTAGGCCAAATTAATAAAACAGATAAATGGTAGTCAACATCTAATATGTTATGTGTGGTTTCTGAAAACAAGCCATAGTTAATTGTCTTACTTAATAGTTTTTTGCTTTCCCCATTACAAACAGTAAGCACTGTGTGCATGTTTCTTCATACATATTTGCCCGGGATATATACCTAGAAATTGAACCATTTGACTCTGATGTTTGAGATTTCTAGTTCTTTAGAGTGAGTAAAACTGTTTTTACTCTCCCCATGTAGTTTTCCCACGTAATCCCTAAAATTACATAATCCCATGTAATTTTTCAAAAATTATCTCTAAATTTTTACTAACTTAAATTTATTTCAACATTATTTTAGTTTGTGTTTCCTTGCTTCATGGTAAAGCTGGTCTTTTATGTTTTCTTCTTGAAACTGTCAGTTTTTCTTTGGAGTTATTTGCATGTTTCTTAGTCATTACTTTGTGCAGCAGACCTTTCCTGACTCACCTGCTACTTCCCTCAGTAATATACTTCGTCAGTCAGTTCTGCTCCCCACTCTGTCTCTGGTGAATCCTCTTACCACCCCTGCACCTCTGGCCTGTACCCCAGTTCTGTGTGCATAAATAAATAAATCTTTTTAAAAAATTTATGACATCAGGAAGGATTCTAATTTCATCCTTTTCCATAGCATATACTTTCCCCCTAAATCATAAATTGTACATTTGTGGCCTCCCTTTTTTTTTTAAGATTTATTTATTTATGCTTACAGAACTGGGGTACAGGCCAGAGGTGTGGTGGGTGAGAGGATTCACCAGAGACAGAGCAGGGAACAGAACAGGTAGATCTACTGAAATACATTGCTGAGGGGAGCAGCAGGTGGTTCAGGAGAGGTCTGCCAGCCATGTGGGTCAGCTCCCTGGCTGGGTATTGAACTCATGCTGCAGTGGTTTTAGAGAGCTTCATAATGCGGTGCTTTTAACCTGTGGGCCAGTAGGGATAGCCTAGTCTATCTTTTTACAGATCAATATTTTGTTCTGCTCCTAGTACATAAATTACATAGTTAATAAAATTATAGTAAAAAATAATGATTTGAATTAGTTATGCAGTTATAAAATGTGATAGACTTTAGGAACATTCAAAGATAGGTACACAAATGAAGTACTTTGGTTGCTTGCTCACCTTGTGTGTCTTTCTCATTCACTTACTCTATTTTGGGACTTTTTTCTGTGTGTTTTTCACAAAAGAACATAGAACTAGACTTCTAAATGTAATATTTAGCCAGAAAGTGTAGTCATTTTGCTTTTATTTTGATAACATATATTTGGATTCATTGCTATCACATTACTTCTTAGTTAATCTAATGTACTTTTCTTTTTTCTTTATTCCTGTTTTCCATGACAGATTTTTGAATTTTGAATTACTGCAGTTTCAGTCCAGTATTCAATTACATGAGATATTCAGTGTTGTTATAAAATAGCCTTTGTGTTAGATAATTTCCCCAGCTGTAAGCCAGTGTAACCTTTCTGGCCTCCTTTAAGGTCTGATGTTCAATAGATTAGGTCTATTAAGTAGTATTTTGGGCATGATTATTTTCAACTTACAACGGGTTTGTCAGGAAATTACCCCCATTGTAAGTCAAGGAAGATTGATATTCTTGGCTCATGTTTGCCATATATATATATTTTTTGTTCACTGTTCTGTACCCTGCTCTTTCTGGATATACTATCATTATTGAAGTCTTTCAAAGTTCTTTCAGCAAGATCATGATTACAGTAAATTCTGTATTAAGGTAGAGTTAATCCTACCTTCACTATTAAGTGGTATTTTCCACAGCATTTTGAAGCTGCCATTCCATTGTTTTTCCTTTTTTTTTTGCTTTAAAGAACTCATAGCTCAATATTTCTTTGTAACTTTTTTTTTCTCTCTAGTTATTAGGTTTTATCTTGTTCTATATAATTACGTTTTTTGAGATCTGTATTTTTATTTGCTAAAATGCACTTTGGTTTTCAATCTGATAATTTGTGGCATTTATCCTGGGAAATTCAGACACTATATCTTTAAATGTAAGGCTTCCTTTTTTTTTTTTTAATATAGTTTATTTTTACATCATTTTGTGCCTTTTGGCCATCTCAGATGTAGGCTTCCATTTTTAAAAGCATTCTTTCAGTTTCTACTTAATTTTGTGTCTTTTTCATATTTTTATCCCCTAGTTCTTTATTAGATTTCACCAATTCTATAATAGTTTTGTTAACTTATAAAACAGTGAAATTGGGATACCATGTTATTTAATTGGAAGTTTTTTCTTTTAGTATCATTTAATTGGCAGCTTAAAAAATTTTTTTTGGTACATCAGTGTCTTGAGTACATTAATAAAGCATCTCTGCTTGACTGTTTAATATCACAATCTTTGAGTTTTATTCTGTTGATAATATTTGAACATTAGATCTTCCCTTTGTTTCTTTTTCAAAATGTTTTCATTTTCACTATAGCTTGCTCTTTTAACATTTTAATCCCTTTTGTGTCCTTAAACATGCTATTTTTATATGGTTTGACTGTTCTGTTAATTACCATTTATAGTATTTAATTTCCCTGTGTCTCTGACATTAGATGATATGTGGCTTGTTTTATTAGAGAGCTTGTGTTGGATAAGACAATCCAACACAGTAGTTTTTCTCTCTTCCACTAGAACTTCTGGGTACTAATTAATCAGTAATAATTTTAATGGTATAAGTGTTAGAATTCAAGTTGTAGTTTTAATGCTGTAATGTGGAAGTTACTCACACATTTTCAGTGATTTGAAGGGCTAGAAGACAAAATATCTGAAATAGGGGTTGTCCAGAATCTAGTATTTATTTTTATTACATTTTTTTTCATTCTTGGATATATCACCTTTCAGTATTTTCTTTCTAGAAAAGTTTTTCCCATTTAAAAAAGTATTTCTTGTTTATTATAATTCAGAAAATGTTTTCTCTGTTTCATTATAGACAACTTAGAAGTTAAGTATCATAGAGATCACTAAAGTTATTAGCATTTTAGTATATTTCCTAAAAAGCTTTTTTACCATGTACTTTACACACACACACTAGCAGGTGTGTTTTAAACCATTTTCTGTTCTACATTTTCTCATTTAATGGTATTTTGATATTTTCCAGTGTCATCTCTTTCAGTACCAGATATTTGACTTTTTTTTGTATATGTTGGCATGACTA